GCTAATGCAGTTGGATTTCCAGGACCGCCTCAGAGGCGGTATGATCCCTATGCAAACACCTATAATCCAGGATGGAGGGATCATCCTAATTTTAGTTATGCAGCAAGGCCACTAGGATTTCAACAACAGCCACAATATCAACCTAGACCTCAACCTGCAGAGCAACAATCTGCTCCTAAATCAGGTATGTCATTTGAGGATATTGTGAAATCTTTGGCTACTAACACTCAACAATTTCAACAGGAGACGAAAACTAGCATTCACAATTTGGAGAATCAAATGAGCCAGTTAGCTTCCACAGTCAATAGATTGGAGTCCCAATTATCGGAAAAGCTACCTTTGCAGACAATTGTCAATCCCAAGCAAAATGCCAGCGCCATCACATTAAGAAGTGGCAAAGAGTTGCCTGAGCCGAGCAAGAGAATTTCTGAACAAGCAATTGAGGAAGAGCTCGAAAAGGAGGGGAATGTGTCTCAACCTAGGGCCTTGGAACAACCAGATTTTGGAGAAAAATCAACACAAGTGGTTACACCTCTGCCTCCATTTCCTAGTCGACTGGCAAAGTCCAAAAAGCAAGAGCAAGAACAGGAGATTTTGGACACTTTTCGAAAAGTTGAGGTAAATATCCCTCTTTTAGATGCAATTAAGCAAATTTCTAGATATGCTAAATTTTTGAAGGAGTTATGCACTGGTAAAAAAAAGTTGAAAGGAAACGAGAAAGTGCATATGGGAGAAAACGTCTCGGCAGTTTTGCAGAAAAAATTGCCTCCTAAATACAAGGACCCGGGTATGTTTACTGTCCCTTGCAAAATAGGCAATATTAAAATTGAAAAAGCTATATTGGATTTGGGTGCTTCAATAAATGTTATGCCTCGTTCTGTTTATAATTTGATGAACGTTGGGCCTTTAAAAGAGACGGGCATAATAATTCAACTGGCTGATCGATCAAATGCCTATCCTGATGGAGTTTTGGAGGATATTTTAGTGCAAATTGATAATTTGATTTTTCCTACAGATTTTTATGTGCTTGATATGGAGGATGATAATTCTAATTCATCTCCAATACTGTTAGGAAGACCATTTTTGAAAACTGCTAGAACAAAAATTGATGTTTTCACTGGCACATTGACTATGGAATTTGATGGTGATGTTATTAAATTTAGTATTTATGATGCCATGAAATATCCTGGTGAATCTCATTCAGTTTTTGTTATAGATGTAATTGATTCTTTGGCGCAGCAAAATTTTGGATTTAATAATGATGATGCGTTGAAGGTTGCTATTTCTACTGGTCTCTGTCAGGAAAATTTACAAAAGATAAAAGGGAAGTTTGTTTTTCCTTTTGAATTGCAGGAAGTTATTTTTGAATTGAATTCTCTTTGTCCAGAATTTTCCAATGTGTCTTACTTGGAATTACCTCTGTCTCATTCACAGCTTTTGCCATCTATTGTGCAAGCCCCGAAGGTGGAATTAAAATAGTTACCGGATAATTTAAAGTATGCATTCTTGGGAGATGGAGATACACTCCCAGTAATAATTTTTAGTAAATTGACTGCTTTAGAGGAAGAAAAACTAATTCGGGTGTTAAAGGACCACAGGGAGGCAATAGGATGGACAGTGGCTGACATAAAAGGATTAAATCCAGCCACTTGTATGCATCGCATCTTGTTAGAAGATGGTGCTAAGCCTTCGAGAGAGGCTCAAAGGAGATTGAACCCACCAATGATGGAGGTAGTGAAGAAAGAAGTTTTAAAACTTCTTGACACAGGTATAATCTATCCCATTTCAGATAGTAAGTGGGTAAGTCCTGTTCAAGTAGTTCCTAAAAAGACAGGAATTACTGTTATTGAAAATCCTAAAGGTGAGTTAGTGCCCACTCGAGTTCAAAATGGGTGGAGAGTTTGTACCGATTTTAGAAAATTAAATGCATTAACTCGTAAAGATCATTTTCCATTGCCTTTTATTGATCAGATGTTGGAAAGGTTGGCAGGAAAATCTCATTATTGCTGTCTTGATGATTTTTCAGGTTTTCTACAAATTCCAGTGGCGCCTGAAGATCAAGAGAAAACCATATTTACTTGCCCTTTTGGTACATTTGCCTATAGACGAATGCCTTTTGGTCTTTGTAATGAGCCTGCTACATTCCAAAGGTGTATGGTTAGTATATTTTCTGATTATGTGGAGAATATCATAGAAGTGTTTATGGATGATTTTACTGTCTATGGTAATTCTTTTGATGAATGTTTAACTAACCTCACAAAAATTCTTAAAAGGTGCATTGAGACTAATCTTGTCTTAAATTATAAAAAATGCCATTTTATGGTAGACCAAGGCATAATTTTAGGCCATATGGTATCTGTTAAAGGAATTGAGGTAGATAAGGCTAAGGTAGAAATTATCAAATGTTTACCTTACCCCGTAAGTGTGCGGGAAGTTCGCTCTTTTCTTGGCCATGCAGGTTTTTATAGGCGTTTCATCAAAGATTTTTCAAAGATATCCCATCCTCTATGCAAATTACTTCAAAAGGATGTGGTATTTCATTTTGATGATAATTGCAAGAGTGCATTTGACACGCTCAAGGGATCATTGACTTCAGCACCAGTGGTTTGACCACCAAACTGGAGTCTTTCTTTCGAGATAATGTGTGATGCCAGCAATTTTGCTGTTGGTGCAGTACTCGGCCAGAAAGAGGGCAGAGCTTCTTATGTCATTTATTATGCCTCGAGGACCTTGGACGGTGCCCAGCGCAATTATTCGACTACAGAAAAGGAGCTTTTAGCTATTGTTTTTGCTTTAGAAAAATTTTATTCTTATTTACTTGGCACTAAAGTCATTATTTATTCTGACCATGCAGCTTTGAAATATTTGCTCAACAAGAAAGAGGCCAAACCACGACTTATAAGGTGGATTCTCCTACTCCAAGAATTTGATCTGGAAATTAAAGACAAAAGAGGTGCTGAAAATATGGTTGCTGATCACCTCAGTCGTTTGATCAATAGTGAAGGACCTGCTCCCTTGAAGGATAATTTTCCAGATGAGCATCATTTTGTAGTTCAAAAGACAACTCCATGGTATGCTGATTTAGTGAATTATCTTGTTACTAGAACGCTACCTAATGATTTGTCTAGAGCTCAAAAGGAAAAAATTAAAAGTGATGCTAAATAATATGTGTGGGATGAACCATACTTGTGGAAATATTGTACTGACCAAATTATTCGCAGGTGTGTGTCTGAAGAAGAGGTTCCATCAATTTTATCTTTTTGTCACTCATATGCGTGTGGTGGACATTTTGGCCCTAAACGAACTGCAAGAAAGGTTTTAGAGTGTGGTTTATTTTGGCCAACTTTGTTTAGTGATGCATACTTATTTTGTAAATCATGTGCAAATTGTCAAAAGACAGGTAATTTAAGCCATAGAGATCAAATGCCTCTTACTCCTATACTGGTTTGTGAAATTTTCGATATATGGGGTATAGATTTTATGGGTCCATTTCCTTCATCTTTTGGTAATATGTATATATTACTTGCAGTTGATTATGTCTCAAAGTAGATAGAGGCTAAGGCAACTAGGACTGACAATGCTAAGGTTGTAGTTGATTTTATTAAATCTCATATTTTTGTCAGGTATGGCACGCCAAGAGCAATTATCAGTGACCGAGGGACACACTTCTGCAATCGAGTAATGGAAGCATTAATGAAGAAATATGGCGTCACTCACCGGGTTTCTACGTCCTATCATCCGCAGACTAGTGGTCAAGCAGAAATCTCCAATAAAGAAATCAAGTCGATACTTGAAAAGACGGTGAATCCCAATAGAAAGGATTGGAGTTTGCGCTTAGATGATGCACTTTGGGCATACCGTACAGCTTTTAAGACCCCCATAGGTATGTCTCCTTACCGATTAATTTTTGGCAAACCTTGTCATCTACCTGTGGAATTGGAACATAGGGCATATTGGGCAGTTAAAAATTACAATATGCGGATGAATGAAGTTGGAGAACACAGGAAGTTGCAATTGCAAAAGTTGGAGGAAATCCGAAATGATGCATATGAGAGTTCTCCCATTTATAAGGAAAAGGCAAAAGCATTTCATGATAAAGCAATTTCAAGGAAAATTTTTTATATTGGTCAAAAAGTACTTCTTTTTCACTCTAGACTTAAACTTTTTCCTGATAAATTGCGGTCACGATGGATAGGGCCTTTTATTCTCACTAATGTTTTTCCTCATGGTGCAGTGGAAATTCTAAGTCCAAAAACCGACAAGGTTTTCAAGGTCAATGGCCATCGTCTAAAACCTTTTTATGAAGGATTTCAGGCATATACCATCGAGGAGTTGGCTCTCGAAGAGCCTACTTATTCTGATTGAAGTATAATTTTGTCTAGCCAAAGACATTAAAGAAAGGCGCTACTTGGAAGGCACTCCGAGAGTTTCAATTTTTTTTTAGTCATTTTATTTATTTATTTATTTATTATTCTTCTTCTTTTTTTTGTTTCGTATTTTTGTGTTAAAGGTGAGTTTATTTTGGTTCCTATTGACCGAAACTTTTTGTTGTAGGTAAACTCTTAGGCAGAAGACCTTTTGTTATAAGGCGTGCCCACGCTTTATGCTAAAGGCAGACCGTTGATTTTCAAGACCTTTTGTTATAAGGCGTGCCCACGCCCTATGTTTGGAGTGCACTATGGACTTTCAAGTTGGATGGGTAGAAGAGTTTTTGTTATAAAGCGTGACCATGCCTTGTAGCATTGTCTTGAGTTTGATTTAAGTGGTTCGACAAAAAAAAAAAAAAGATAGCATCCCCAATTCGGTTTGGGCCCGACTCTCTTATGAGCGAGAGCTGCTATCTCCCCTCTTCCATTTGTCTCAATTACCCTAGCTTGTTCCTTCTCCTTTCCTTTTCCCACAGCCTTGACCGAGCCTCCAAGAGCAATCTTCTACCTTTGGTCTCTGTTGCTCCATCATCGGCGAACGCACCTCCATGGGACTGCTCGCCTGAAGTTCCACCGAGTTCCAACAAGAAACGGGTACTATCTAGGCTGCCTCTTCATTCATAATTTTTTGGTAGTTCAATTACATCTATTCAAATTCCTTGCTGCCGATTTCTATTCTACCCCAGTTAACTGCACTTGATTGCTTGGATTTATGGACATTGGGTAGATATTTGGTTCTTGGTCATTGGTTGATTGTGCTTATCAAAGTAGTATTCGGTAGTCAATTGCACAAGTGCCTTTGTTATAGTCTTGCAATCTTACAACAATAGCTTGCGGGTCCCTCCATTTTTGGCTTTAGAAAGCTTGATTAGTCTTCCATCCGTCCACATAGCTTGCCAATTGCATGACTATCTCCTATTGTTTTTAAAAGACAATTGTTAGTGGGTTGTTCAATTCGAGTTTGGCTTCTACTGGGGAGTCCATTTGGTTTCTTTCTTCGATTGGGTCACAATTACTCTTCAACTATTGACCTTGGTGGGTGCTTTTGAATTGTTGAACTATGGCAAAGAAAAAGACTGCTTCAACGAAACCAAGTAAAACTCCGTCTGTGCCACCTGAACCTGCTCCCAAACCTAAGAAAAGAAGAGCCCCTATCCAACCGAAGAAGAGGTCACGTTTGGGGATTTGCAGAAGTACTCTGCCACCTGAAGACAACAAATTGGGAGGTGCACTTGATGGGTTCACTTCCGAGCAAATAGAACGGCTTCAAATGTTGCGAGTCAGACCTTTTGTTGCCTACAAATCTGTCCATCGCCCTACACTGGACCACCTGCGCATTGCTAGTGACGTAGATAGGTTGTTTGCTTCAATTGGGTGGCAACGGTATTTGACAATTGATTATCCTTCTTATAGTGAGTTATCTTGGGAATTTTACACTACATTCAGCTTTGACAAACCAAGTAACTTAACTTTGAGTACCCCCGATGTGGTAAGGTTTAGGTTGTTGGGTGTTGATATGCGTCTGTCCCTCAATGAGTTCAATATACTTTTAGGTTTCATCGATCCGGAGGCTATCTCATCTCCAGAGTACATGAACAGTGCCTGTGATTATGAACAGCCATTCGCTAGGGATTATATTGACATTTGGAGAGAATGGTCTGTGGATAAGTTCACCTATAATCCTAGCAGGTCCAAGAGTTCTTATTTGAAAGATCCCGTTTTAAGATACGTTCACAAGTTCTTAGCGTTCAACTTTTCTGGACGGAAGGATGCGTCTTGTGTTTTAAGTAAAGCTGAATTCTATTTTTTGTGGTGCATGGTCAATAATGTCAAAGTTAATTTTGGATGTTGGTTAGCTACTCAATTACAGACCGTGCTCACCAAACCACACAAGCCATTAATATTGGGGTCTATTATTACTCATATTGCTAACCGGATGTGTGACTCTTTTGGGGCAGATCTTGAACTGCATGTTGCTCGTCCAACAGATCCGTTGGATTTGGCTTGTTTGGAGCGAATGGGAGTTATTCACCGTGTTCAGGACCAGTACCAGTTTGCATCTCCGGGGGAGCTACGACTTCGGTCACCAGCTAGAATCACTATGTCCCCTGCTGCTGTCCCCACTGATACTTTATCTGCCGAAGAGGCATGCCCTTCTACATCCCTGCCAGGCCTACCATCTAAACGGGATGCTCAGTTCCAGAGTTTGCACGCACAGATACAACGTCTAGACAGTCGAATTGCCAATATCGAGCTTCAAAGTTCGCGGATGGCGGAAAACTTGGCGGCTTACTTCGTTTCTGTGGGCTTCTCATCGCCCTTTGCCCCACATTCTTGATCTTCATGTTCAGGGACGTCCCTCTACCTTTCTTTTGCTCTTATTATCTTACATTGCGGACAATTTCATGTTTAGGTGTGGGGGAAGGGTATTTCTTGTATGAAAATTTGTGGCCATTCCTATATTTGTAATTTTGAGACAACTAAAATGTAGTTTAGGTAGGATGCAAATGCAGTTGAGCTGCAAATATGAGTAGGGCAATGTTACTAGCATGAGTAGGTTATTTTCTTGCAATTGATTTGAATGATGGATGTGCTAGATTTGACATAATTTCAACCATTTTGTGAGCTTTCGGACTTTATAAGCAATTTAGTATATTTTGCTCTATTTTCTTTTGTTGAGTGATATCACACATGATTTAACATTCTAGAACTTGCTTCTCTATGCATGTTGAGACCATGCTTGAATTTGATGCATTAAAATGATAAGGGCAATTAGGTTTAACCCTTTTGACTTTCTAAATGCCTCCCCCAATTATGTTTACCCATAGTTAGCCATGTTTGAGGCTCAATCCTTTTCTTCGTTAATAGCCAAATTTGTTACCTTAAACCTTTTTGTTTAGACCTTTTCATTCGAACCTTGTGTCAAAGGAATGCCATAATATTCTTGCATGACAATTTCAAGTGTGTTCCAAAAGTACGTTTATGGTTGGCAAGTATGATAGTTATGTTGGTTCTAAAAAAAAATGATGAAAAAAAGGGAAATGGAGAAAGAAAAAAAATACAAAAAAAAAGAGAATTTTTTTTTTTTTGTGAAGTGCACTTGTGTCGTTTTGTGATAGTTGGGCTAATGCCTAAATTGCGTTTGCACTTGCCAAATTTAGTGAAGTTATTAACACTCTTGGAAGCCAGCTATACATGTGAATGATAAAGGAGTTTGATTTCATGCAGAGTATTATTGGTATTTCCTTTGATATATGTACACCTAAATAATTCCCTTTATCCAACCCTTAACCCAAGCCCCGTTACAACCCTTATAAAGACCCTTTGATTGTTGCATTGAATTCATTTTAAGTGGTGGAAATGTGATATATTAGCAAGCTTATGGTAATGTCATTGCATGGAGTTGATTTGAGTGCTAAATATCCCTGAAACACTAGAGTGCAGAGTGTATATACTTCTATCCATGTGAGGGTTGTTGAAACTGGTGCATCGTGATTTTGATGAAATTGTTGAGAAGACATGATACTTGTGTTAATATGCACTGTGCTATCCATGTTTGCCATCTTGACTGTGATTCTTGAGTAGTGAATGCTTGAGGGCAAGCATTGTTTAGGTGTGGGGGAATTTGTTAAGTGATTAATTATGCATATAATTGGTGAATATTTTCCCCTTTATTTTGCTAAAATATGGTGTTAATTGATGAATTTTACTCATATTTGATTTTTGGTGTTGTTTTTAGGAATTGTTGGTGAGAATGGAGTAAAAGGTGCATTAAAGACTAAATTTTCAGAAGACAACAATTTAGAAGACGTGACCACGCTTTAATCAGTTGAGAAGTCCCAATGTCGCAAGAATTGAAGCAATGCCGAGGCTGACTCTTTATTTCTATTGACCAATTGAAACGAAATCTTTGTTTCTTGATTGAGATAAACTCTGTTAGTTAGCTATTTTAGGGATGATACATTTGGGTTCCTTTTTATTAGTACTATACTTATTAGAAGTACAATGGGAAGAGGACTCTCGGCGGGTGAAAGGAAACGTAGGAGTATAAGAAGGAAAAAAGAGCCTTCAGCTAGGGGGCTCTCTCGAATCCTTTTTCTTCTTTTTCTTCTTGACAGACTATAAACGCTAATATTTTGTCGCTGTGAATTCACCATGAGGAGCGGCTAATTTCTTTTCTAGTTGAACGATAATTGAAGCTTTGGTTCGACAATTCTGTGAGATCTAATTTGATTTATTTGCTTCATCTATTTCTGAGTATTTATATATTCTCTGTCATCCATGTTTATCATTATTTTCTACAGTTAAATACCTGATCAATATTTAATTGTTGAAATAGTCTATTGCCATCTAAAATATCAAATCCGTAATTGTTTGGTGGTTTTAGTATCTGTGGCGCGTGATGTAATTTGATTGTAAAAGAAACTTTCGAATCTATGTCACGGGAATACATAACCTAACTTAAATGAACCGAGCTTGTGTGTTTGTTGGTTAGAATTGGTAGCTTCTCTAATTATTAATGTTGTCAATAGGTTAAATCCTAAGAGCTTGTTTAGGGTTGCTTAATTGGCAAGAAAAATAGCCACAGAGCGTGTTGTGGTTATCGAAGCAGTAAGGCGAGGCAGGTTGTCAGAGCGTGTTAATGACCATAACCAGTTTATTCATGAATAAGTGATTTCACCTTTGCATCGATGATCAGTTAAATGAACCAAAGTGGAGATTAGACCTTCGACTAGAGTGTTGCCTTTTCTTGATTTAGTTTTATTTAATTTTGTGATACTGTCTTTATTTTTTATTCAAGTAAGCTATTTGGTTAATTTCTCCTAATCCCCCATTTTTCACAAAGAAATAAATCACCCAGTCCCTGTGGATACGACCCTATTCACTGCTATGCTCGAATTCAAATTTTAGAGTAGGAACTTTTATTTTTGCTGGTTTGACACGCCAACAATTTGGGATTTATCTTGTAATTTATTTGAGAATTGTAGTGAACGACTGAGTCCCGACGAGAGTTGGATAGGTGACCCGCCAAATCCTTTGGTTCGCCTTAGGGGGAGGTGGGGCTGTCACACTGCTACAGTCCCTGATGATGTTTTCCACAGAGTGCAAGGCATCCAGTTGTGCAATACCCAAGCCTACCAATGCACTCCTGCCTTTTTTGCCGATTCATTCTTCCTCAACAAGTTTTCGTCTGAAGTAACTGCAGAAAGGGCTTCGGTCCCTCAAACTGCAAGGGTTATAGTGAGAGACATATCATCTCTGTTGTCCCAGTCACTCGTGTGACTATGGCCCATCATAATTGCTCTTTCAATTTCTATATTATCGGAAACGGTAGAGAGGTTTATTTCGAGGACTATCCGGCTTGGTTCTGTTGGGGCCTGTGCCCATGTTTTGAGTGGTTGAAATCAGAAGTTGCTGTTTTTACTCCAGAGGTCCTTCACTTGCTAGAGTGAAATGATTTCTAGGGGACAGATATTTTAGTTTTTGCTCGAAATTGGGAAGATAGAATCAGTTCAAACATGTTAATGGGTTATGCGTTGAGTGAATGAGCTATTGTATGAATCAAGAATTTTTTGTGCTCATGCAAAAATAGAAGTTAAGCTGGTAACTACAACCCGAAATGCTAGCACATATAAAATGGTGCAAGTATTGCAATGAGTAAATGGTCCAATGAGGATGGTTTACATTCTTGATGCTGTCAACTATATTCTTTGCACAACAATTTCATCGTTAGACGTTATATTCAACTTAAATGAATCATCATCTAATCAGATCAGTATTTTTTAAGATTCCAAACGAATAGTTTAATTTTTTATGTTTAAAATTTATGATATGCTTCTCCATACATCTATATAGGAAAACCAAATACCTCTCCTGCATATTTAGCCCAACACATTGGGCATTGGCTGTGCCTTGCACAGCTGAAAAAGTTTCTAGTATATAAATATATAACACGTTAATAATGAGTTGCCCACTAGATTTGCATGGCCTACGCGTGGCTGTTAAACAAGTCACCACGCTAGCATCAGAACATGCAAATGTGAGGATGAATAGTAAACTCAGCAAATTTGTCTTTGCCCAGAGCAAACTCATTTGACCGATTAACAAGAAATCAAAGATCCCGGCCTAAGCCATATTCTTTATATTTAGCAAAAAAAAAAGGAAAAGAAAAAGATGCCATTTTCTTTTCTCCCTTTGCAGCAATTGATCTTCAAAATAGTGATGCTGAAAGGCCTTGGCAAACATTCCACGAGCCCTAGTAATATAGCAGTTTGGTTTTTGTTCCTGAGCATGTCAATTTCTTTAGCTGCAAAAGTAGCATTTGCTGATTCAGAAAAGAAAGTGTATATTGTTTTCACGGATCGACCCATTGGCCAAGACCTGAGAGATTATGCTATTCAAATTCTGTCTTCTGTCCTCGGCTGGTAAGCATATAGATAATAGACGTTCAATATTTTCGTGTATTTATTATAAATTTCTTTAAAACGGGGTCTTAATCAAACTTAATTTTGGATAAATGTTTTCTACAATCGGTTTGTAGTACAAGCCCCTTAAATTTTGTACAAATATTGCACCCATAAAGAATTTTTGTAAAAATATGAGAGATTGATCCTTTTACTTTACTTTTAATTATATGATGGGAGGAACTTGTGATAAAATTTCACTATTTTAGGCCAGTAGTATGATGTTAGCTTGGAACTTTGTAAAAAGTAAGACCTGATTCATTCCTTTTTGGCATCAATGAGAAAATTTATATTAGGGTTTAGTCCCAAACGTTCTAGCTCACAAAGAAAGATGTTTAAGGAAATTTTGTAAAACAATTCTAAGCCTAGAGGCATTGGATGCTGAAAATTGCAGCACTATTACACTAGTTTGCGTTGTTAAACAATATTAGTTAGATAATCATTCTGGTACAATATCCACCCATATATCAGTAAAAAAGAAATTATTCTGTTTTGGATTGGTCGTTGGTTTAATTTCATTTTCATTTTGTAATTAGTCATTGTTTAATGCTATTGCATAGTTTTCTGCACTATTAATGTCTGTTCTTCACAAAGTTGAGAGCATAGATATGGCATTTCTGCAAACTTCATGTTCCAAATAAGAAATACTTTTCATTTGAAAGGACCTATTGATATTTTAAAGAGAACTAAAGCACCGAACCAAATACACTAATTAAAGATTCAATTATCAGATGAAAAATCTGGAAGGTGAGACACTGAATTGGACTGAAAGAAAAGATGTAACTAGTTATTAGGAAATTTGAAGTCATATGATTTAGTAAAAAAAATCTGAGAACATAACAGTTTAAATATTAGGCCATATTACTTGAAATACTACTCCTAGATAGTTTGATGGGCTTTTTTTAACCCTTGGGTGTAATAGCCATA